TTGTAAATGTGAAAAATAAACTGGACTACGTTTCCCCTGGAAGTCACACATACTGGCCTACAGTCTCACGCAAGCTCCCAGACCTTATTGATGTTGCGGTGACAAAAAACATACCTCGCAATTTAACAAGTGCCAAAGCAGTCTCGGACTGTGGTCTCGACATCAGACCACTCGCCTGTGCTTTTAACGCTTCTTCAATGCCCAGAAATAACCGAACACCCCTTCAGCCTGACGACGCCAAAAACGAACTGGCTAAAATACAAAAAGTACGTGAGTTCCCACATACAACTCGCCCCGGAGTTTAACATGGAATCGGACATCGACTACACTACGAGCGCCCTGGAAGAAGTACTCGTTGCGGCAGCTAAATTCTCTACTCCTCATGGGAAAGAAGTAGACCGAATACTTCAAATCTAATCAGCAAATCGACCAGCTCGCGCGAGAAAAGAGGGAAACTCGTCGTGATTGGCAAAACAGCAGATTACCAGCTTAAAAACAACGCCTTAAGGAAGCAACTGATCACTCGACCAGGCTCTTCACCAACAGGAAGAAAATGCGCAGCTAAGGTACATCCAGAATCTTTCGCCAACAAGCATAAAGTACCCCCTGTGGAGGGCCCACCCAAATCTCAGCGCCCCAATTGAAACGACCACCCCGATAAAAAACACTTCGGGATACTGGGCTCGCAGCGACAAAGATCGAGCTGAAACATTCGCCACACATCTCCAAAGTGTCTTCCAGCCAAACCCAGCCTCAAATTCATTCCTCCTGCCAGTAATTCAGCCAGAGTCCTCCCCTCAGCCAGCCGCACCTTCATTCCAGCCGAACGAAATCGAAAAAGTCATAAGAGGCCTAAAACCAAACAAGGCTCCCGGTGGTGACCTATTCACCCCAAAGATGGTGATCGAACTTCCAAAATGCGCTATAGAGGTCGTCTGCAAACTATTTAATGGAATCATTAATCTTGGCTATTTCCCAAAAAAGTGGAAGAAATCCATCATTACAATGATACCGGAGCCTGGAAAAGACCACACAATTCCGTCATCATACAGACCAAAAAGCCTTCTATCTTGTTTGTCTAAATTGTTTGAAAAATGCTTGTTAACTCGCATAATACCACACCTGGAAGCTTGCAATATTATCCCGGCACTTCCAAAGAAACCACGGAACCATCGAACAAGTGAACAGATTAACATCCGAAATACGCTCAGCCTTCGAACAGTGAGAATACTGCAGCGCTATTTTCCTCAACGTATCTCAAGCTTTCGACCGAGTTTGGCTTATTGGACTCATGCAAAAAATTAAAACGTATTTGCCAACATACACCCACAAGCTACTGGAATCATACCTCTACAATAGGGTATTCTCAGTGAGATGCAACGTAGCTACCATGGAAGCTGGAGTTCCACAAGGAAGCGCACTCGGCCCGTGTCTATATGTCCGATGCTATCCTAAGTCGCTCCAGAAGCCCAACGCAGGCAACAACCCAACTAACTAATCATCTCATAATAGTGGAAAGGTGGATGTCCGACTGGGGCATTAAAATAAACGAACAAAAGTGTAAAAATATAACGTTTACTCTTTATAGCAGAGGTCGGCACGGCCCTATCTCGGGGGCATAGGAAATTTCTCTGCCCGAGCTCTGCCACACACACACAGTATAAATGTGTGAAACGTCATGCTCAAAGCCTACTTTCTGCTATACGTTACTAACACTAATGCGGTAAAATCATATCAATGTATTGGGGTGCCGACCTCTGCTTTATAGACAAACATGCCCGCCGCTCTTACTAAAAGGCATGCAGATCCCTTAAGCTAACGAAGTAACGTACCTTGGCGTTCACCTTGATAAACGACTTACCTGGCGTAAGCACATCGAATGCAAAAAGAATCACCTAAAACTGAAAGCCAGCAGCCTCCATCATAAGCCCACGATCGCCACTGTGCCTGGACTACAAGTTACTACTGTACAATTCAGTCCTAAAGCCGATCTGGACGTACGGCTCCCAGCTGTGGGTGAACGCGAGCAGCAGCAACATAGGCATCATACAGCGCGCACAATCAAAAATCTTGAGAACTATCACAGGGGCACCTTGGTATGTTCGCAACGAAAACATCCACCGGGATCTGGGCATCCTCGCAGTGGAAGACGAAACACAGAAGCAAACACAGAAGCATCCACAAAAAGTCATACAAAGAAAAACTGTCTTCGCACCCAAATTTTCTCGCTCGGGGATTGACTCGGGTTTCTAGCGTATCCCTTAGACGCAACGACCTCCCAACCCAGCAATCGATTTTTAGGGCCGTCTAACTCCGTATCAGTCAATATGACTGTTAGTTAAGCTATAAGATTTGATACCCTCTTTTTAGTCTCGCAAAGAGAAGATTCAAGAAATAAAAGCAACGTGCAAAAAACAAAAAAAACTGTTAGGGTATGTCAACTTTGGCACTGTCCGAAGATAGCTTTCCTTTCTTGTTTTTAAATAACATCCTTTCTATACCCTTGCAGAGGGTATTATAATTTTGGTCAAAAAGGTGCAACGCAGTGAAGGAGACATCTGCGACCCTATAAAGTATTAGTATTCTCGATCAGGATCACCTCCTGAGTAGATATGAGCATGTATGTCTGTCTGTCTGTTTCTAGCTTGTCTTTCAGTTTTAAAGCTATCGCTTTGAAACTTGGCACACACCCTTCTTTCGTTTGCATGCAGAATATAATTTCTATAGGTTCCATATAACTGAACGATCGGAAATGACTCGATTCTATTTTTGGTCAGTTGATTCGACCTACCATATTTTGAAACAATCGGCCGACTATTTCTTATAGCTGTCATATAACTGAACGATCGGCAATAATATTTGGTTGAAATACAAACCAAATACCAAAATGATCACCACCCGCCGTATTCACCAGACTTGGCTCCTTCCGACTAGCATTTGTTTTCAACTATGGGACACGCATTGGCTGAGCAGCAGTTCTGAGCAGGACGAGGAGGTCGAAAATGTGGTTTCTGGTTGGTTTGCTTTAAGGGGTTATATACAGTTGTACCGCGCAAAAATATGGATTTTTATCGATTTTTTTTTGACACCATAGAAAATATTTATGAAAAATGTTTTACCGACGTTGTTTAGTACATGTTTCTGGGTACCTAATTAAATTTTTTCATAAAAAAATATTACCTAACAAAAATGTTATAGCCGAATTCCCGGATCGTCTTTTTTCGATGGTGACTTGCGGTGGACATGATTTCTCAAAAACGGTTCATGCACAAAATTCAAAAAAGTTTAGTTAGTATATTGTATTGTATAGTCCGTGAACGAGGGATTTTTAAAAATTTTGATTAAAAAAAAAAATGGCGACGTTTTTAAGAAAAAATGTACTTTTTCAACGTATAAGATTTTCGTTTTTTGTGCTTTAAAAAAGGAGTTTTCAAAAAAATATCCCTCGTTCACGGACTAGCTAATATCATAATAAATAAGTGGTCAAAATTTGGTGTTGATCGGATTCGTAGTTTTTTAGTGATCGTGTCCACCGCAAAGGTAATTTCGAAAAATCAAGATTCTAAGATGATCTCGTTTAAAGTTTCACGTTTGTTCAAGTTTTATGTGCAGGTAGTGCGCTATAAAAAGCTACAACTTCGGTTCTAATGCTCCGATCGTTATGAATTTTTGTGAGAGTATTCCCAATAGAATATACTTAAAGAATATGCAATAAAAAAAAAATCTTTTTTTTCATATATCACAACTGTATATAACCCCTTAAGGATGTAGTCTCATGTGCCGGCCTACTTTTTAGAGGTTATTTCAAAAAATTTTTTTTGTAATAAAAAAAAATGCGATCGTTTCAATTTTCAAATATGTTTTTATAAGCATCATAAACTATTTGAAAATATTTCGTTTAATTTATTCTTGTGTAGTTTAATACACTTTATAGCATGCCAAAGTATGCATATAAAAAAAAAGATAGGTCCCTGGCGCAGGTGATTTCGACTGCTAGAGTCATCCGAAACAAAAAATTAGAATAGATTATTGTTTTGTAAGCTAATGGCTCTGTCCCGTACTAGAATGAAATATTTTCATCAATAAACAACAAAATGGCGAACTCACAAAACAAAAAATTAAAAAAAATTAAAAAAATGTATCTTAAATTAATGATAAAAAAAAAACTAATCATTAAAAATAAATGATTCTAGTACGGGACAGAGGTGTTACTTTTTAGAACAACATATCCAAATTTCAGCTAGATCGGTACCATAGAATTTTGTGAATCACCTGCGCCGCACACAAAAATGTCGTTTCGAGAAAAACGCGTTTAAAGTTTAGACGCTACCGAGAAACTCATACTTTTCGGTGTAGGCGCGCTCTCGATTATGGGCTGTATCTCTGGCATTATTTGATATTTTTATTTGAAACTTTAACAGTACATTCATAATAAACAATACTATCAAAATATAAAAAAAAAAAAATTGATTTTTTCAACCTCACACATGAGACTACATCCTTAAAAGATGAACAATTTTATTGGCGTGGTATTCACAAATTGCCAAAAAGGTGGTCAAAATGTGTAGAAAACAATGGCCAATACTTGGAATAAAATTTTCACAAATAAAACGATCTTTTCATACCGGTAAATATATATATCCGGTTTTAACTGCAAGGGTATATCAACTTCGGCTCCGCCCGAAGTTTTCTTTTCTTTCTTCTTTTGATTAAAATGGCGCTTTTATCTTGTTCCCGAAAATCAAAAATTTTTTGATCAAAAAAATAAAAGCCGATTATCTAACGGTATACGTTTGGTTTTGGAATTTCTTATAACCCATAATCGATATATGATGTCCACCACAAATCGCCCTTATTTGAAGCTGTTTCCGAAAAATTGTTGTAGTTATATTTTTCCTCCAAAAATTATGATGATTTCTAATCTCATAAGCATAAATAAAGGCCATTATTTCATTAATAATATGCATGTATTGATTTCTTTAAACTAATTTTATTTTCAGAATTACAAATGATGCCAGGGAGGACGAAATGGAAGAAAACATGGGACAGGTGAATACCATGATTGGAAATCTTCGAAACATGGCGCTAGATATGGGCTCGGAACTGGAAAATCAAAATCGACAAATTGATAGAATAAATCGAAAGGTACGCCGCTTAACAATTTTTAAGTAAAGTTGTGATAGATTGATAAACAAAAAAAAATACAAAAAAGTTGAATTATTTGTTTAAATATGAGGGCCATTTATATCTAACCCTGCATAGATACATGTCCAATAAAAAACATCGGTGCCTATTATAATACACCTCACCATTTATAATTATATTACTAGGGTTCCCAAGAAAAAAACAAAACAAAATTTACAGTGTATTGGTAAAATAATAATGCTGTTCCACTAAACGAATCGGAGAGTGAGCTGCGTAAAAAGTTATTTAACTTGTAAATTTAAAAAATCTAAAAAACTTAACAATTAGAGCGAGAAATTTTTTTTTCAAGTCATGTCGGTAAACTGAAAAAAATTATAGTACCATTTTCAAAGGAGTAAAAAAAAAAAAAAAAAAAAATATTAATTAAATAAAAATTAAAAACTGTAAAAAAATACTAAATGAAGGAAATTTATAGCTCGATGTCAACCAATTCTGTTAGAGATCTCAACCAAAAGTGATTTTTTGTGGTGAAACCGGTGTTTACTTACTTGTGTGCCGGGTTCACTGCCTTAGTCTCGGTTGCCATTTCCCGTAGGTCTGGTATTCATTATTGTTGTGAAAATTTTCGTGCTGTCCAAGGCGAAATGAGGTCGTTCATGAGACAGACCAAGAATGGATTTAAGGAGCTGATCACTGGTTTTCGTAAAATCAATGACCAGCTCTGTGCGCTTGACACTCAGTTTGGTGGCCTTCAGCTGCTAAATGAGTCCCCTAAGCATAAGAAATCCGGTGTTTCTGATCCGACTCAGCCTGCTCAGCCGACATTAATGCAGCAGCTTATATCTCTGGCCACCCCAAAGGCTAGAAATGAGAAAAATTCGTCAGAATTTCTCAGGGAAAATGAGCAATTGTCTGATATGTCCGCCATGGCATCCCTTCAAGTGATGCCACAGGTCCTAGGGAACGAAACCCCCCCTAGAGTCACCCAAAAGGGTATTCCACAGTCCGGACCACCGGCACCGACTGATGCTGCAGTTCTCGTACCTGCGAAACCAAAACCCTTACAGGTGATTCCTCCATCGAAACATATATTTGTTTCTCGGCTTGCCCCTGATACTTCAGAGATTGATATCTCGGCTTATATCAAAGCCAAAACAAAAGCCGATATAAAGGTGGATGACATAACTAAATTTAAATATAATTATACACGGCGCATGTCTTCTTTCAAGATTCGTGTGCCCGCGATGATGTTCAAGACGATTTGTTCTCCCAGTTTTTGGCCAGAGAATCTTTTCGTCCAAGAACATCAGCATGAATTTACAGAACATCGGAATAGCATTTACAGAAACTTGGTTAAATCCGGAGATCTTTATCTCCAAAGTTTTTCCAAGTAAGTACACCACTTTTAGACGGGATCGATCTCAGCGAAGAGGAGGTTGAGTCCTCATTTCGGTAGACTCTACTTTTGCTTCTGAAAAGGTGAAATCCCAAGAGTTTGGTGACATAGAATATATTTGTGTTAAAATCACTATGTCCGTGAAAGCTTTATACATTACATGTTCATATATACTTCCTATGTCTGAACCGCCCACATATTGGCAGCATTTGTCCGCCATTCGATACGTCTCTAATCTTATGACGGATCGTGACCAACTCGTAGCGGTGGGCGACTTTAATATCCCAGAATTAAAGTGGTCCAACGTCGGTAACTCACCATCTTTGTCACTTATAACTATACCATGACTTCACCGCGGCCATGTTTGACATGTCCCTAGGTCAGATCAATCATGTTAGAAATTCGCTAGGTCGGCTTTTAGACTTATGTTTTGTATCTGATCCTGATGGTACTGCTCTCTCCAGAGCTTTTCCCCTTTCAACCCCAGAGGATCCATATCACCCCACGCTGGAGGTCTCAATCGAAACCACTCCTGGTATCGATCAGATGTCTCCGAGCGTGGTAAATAAGATTCGCTGTTTCCGTAAAGCTGATTTTCAGAAACTTAATAGCCTTATCGATACATTTGACTGGTCTGATATTCTGGCGTGCACTGATCTTAATGTCACTTTAGAAAAATTGTATTTTACTTTAAATACATTTTTTGACTCATGTGTGCCTTGGAAATATCCGTCCGCTTCAACAAATCCTCCTTGGTTTACAAGGTGCCTCACTAACCTAAAAACGCATAACGCTGAATGTTATAGGAATTATATTGACCGCTGCCGGATTCAATTTACTCAGGATCCAAAGCAGTTTTATAATTTTGTTAACACTAAGCGTAAACATGAATCTTTTTCACCCCTGCTTACGTTTGAAAATTCCTCGGCGACCTCTGATCACGCCATTGCCGATCTATTCGCAGAATTTTTTCAAACAACTTATTCTCCACCGAAATTGACAGATCAGCCTTACGCATATAACATTCAAGCAGCAAATATCATTTTCTTTCCGTTTTTCTCCAAGAACAACTTATTATCTGATCTTCTAAGGGTCAAACCCATTTATACGCCAGGTCCCGATGGAGTACCAGGCTGTGTGCTAAAGTACTGTGCCAGGGCTCTGTGCAAACCTCTTCTAAGACTTTTCAACTTATCTTTGGAAAGCTCGATTTTTCCCCCTAAGTGGAAGGAATCATTCATAATTCCCCTACATAAAAAAGGGAAAAAGTCCGATGCTGCCAACTACAGAGGCATCTCTAAGTTGTCGGCAATTCCAAAGTTATTTGAAAAATTAATTTCCACCTAATAGAATGACTCGAAACTTTAGTCCTCTGTTCCTTAGCCATTGTAGTTCGACATATAACTGCATGACCTTTTTAGGGTATTGTGTTCGAACTACAATGGTCTTTACTCTATAACATCTCTTTCATGTCCCTCTAATTTAAAATATAGAATTTTACATTTTCTTACTAGCTTAACTCCTTTTAGCTTAACAAATTATAAATAGCTTAATACGTTCTAACAAATCATTTCTCGAGCGCGCCTCGGTCGTCTAGGTCTGTAAGCTTTATGATGAATACAGGAATGCTAGCCAATGCTATCTCTTAGTGATGCACAAGCCATTTCCAAATTCTAAAATACCATGAAAAAATAAAAATAAAAAAAAAAATAATTGCCAAGCAGTCTCGTACTTATCAGCAGACCACTCGCCTGTGCTTCTAACGCTTCTTCATCTTCAAAAAAATGCAAAAAGTACGTAAGTGCCCACATAGAACTCACCCCGGAGTTTAACATGGAATCGGAAATCGACTACACTACGAGCGCCCTGGAAGAAGTATTCGTTGCGGCAACCAAATCCTTTCCTCCTCATGGGAAGATCGACCTTTCCAACAGCTCGTGCGGGAAATTGGCAAAACAGTAGATCACCAGCTTCAAAACAACGACTCAAAACAACAACGAAGAAACCCGATCACTAGACCAGGCTCTTCACCAACAGGAAGAAAATGCACTGCTGAGGTATATCCAGAATCTCTCGCCAACAAGCACAAAGTATCCCCTGTGGAGGGCCCACCCAAATCTTAGCGCCCCAATTGAAACGACCACCTTGATAAGAAACTCTTTGGAATTCTGGGCTCGCAGCGACGAAGACCGAGCTGAAACATTCGCCACACATCTCCAAAGTATTTTACAGCCAAACCCAGCCTCAAATTCATTCCTCCTGCCAGTAATTCAGCCAGAGTCCTCCTCTCAGCCAGCCGCACCTTCATTCCGGCCGAACGAAATCGAAAAGTGATAAGAGGGCTAAAACCAAAAAAGCTCCCGGTGATGACCTATTGACGCCAAAGATGCTGATCAAACTTCCAAAATGCGCTATAAATGTCGTCTGCAAACTATTTAATGGAATCGTTAACTTTGGCCATTTCCCAAAAAAGTGGAAGAAATCCATCCAATAAGCCTTCTATCTTGTTTGTCTAAATTGTTTGATGCTTGTTAACTTGCATAATACCACATCTGAAAGCTTGCAATATTATCCCGGCACTCCAATGTGGCTTCCGAAGAAACCACGAAACTATCAAGTGAACAGATTAACATCCGAAATACTGTCAGCCTTCGAACAGCGAGAATACTGCAGCGCTATTTTCCTCGACCTATCTCAAGCTTTCGTTTCGTTTGGCTCATTGGACTCATGCACAAAATTAAAACGCATTTGCCAATATACACCCACAAGTTACTGAAATCATACCCCTACAATAGTGTATTCTCAGTGAGATGAAACGCACCTACTTCGGGCGACTACATCATCGAAGCTGGAGTTCCAAAAGGAAGCGCACTCGGCCCGTGTCTATATGTTTTGTATACTGCGGATATTCCTACGAGCGCACAACTAACAACGTCAACGTTCGCCGACGATACCGCTATCCTTAGTTGCTCCAGATGCCCAACGCAGGCTACAATCCAACTGGCTAATCATCTAATAGTAGTAGAAAGGTGGCTGTCGTACTGGCGCATTAAAATAAACGAACAAAAGTGTAAACATATAACGTTTACTCTTAATAGACAAACATGCCCTAACGTTCATAAAATAACGTTCCTTGGCGTCCACCTTGATAGACGACTTACCTTACGTAAGCACATCGAATGCAAGAAGATGCACCTAAAACTGAATGCCAGGAGCCTCAACTGGATCATAAACTCACGATCGCTACTGTGCCTGGACTACAAGTTACTACTGTACAGCAACATAGACATCATACAGCGCGCACAATCAAAAATCTTGAGAACTATCATTGGGGCACCTTGGTATGTTCGCAACGAAAACATCCACCGGGATCTGGGCATCCTCGCAGTGAAAGACGAAATCCAGAAGCAAAAAGAGTCATACAAAGAAAAACTGTCTTCGCACCCAAATTTTCTCGCTCGGGGACTGACTCGGGTTTCTAGCATATCCCGCCTGAGACGCAACGACCTCCCAACCCAGCAATCGATTTTTAGGGCCGTCTATCTCTATATCAGTCAATATGACTGTTAGTTCAGTTAAAAATATAAGATTTGAAAAACCTCTT